ATCAGGTCACAGAGCCCCGCCTTTCCGAAGGCCAGCCAGTTGAATCAAATGTTAGTTAGCCTTCGATTTTGCATGCCATCAGAATGCGATCCCCTTCTAAGTCAAAAGCATTAAGGTTAGGACAACTCGCACAGTAGATGAGGATAAGCTAGAGAACAGAAACCAGAGGAGAAGCTCTATGATTTTTGTCCCACATGTTTCGAGCAAAAATTTGATTATTTACGGATTACGATAAAACGCATTACTCAAACATAGGTTTTTCCTATTCGGCATCAAAGCGACTCAGTAGTACAACTTACTAAACAGCATCGTGTTGTTCTCGAAGTGTGCAGGTTTATAACGTACGATTGAGAAAATCACGCATGAATGCTTGTATTATCATTTGCGCTGCGGCCCGATGGTCCGTCACTTCGCTTGCTGCTCGGATGCCATGCATCATCACATATAAACCGTGACTTAATGAGTACGAGGTACATCTTTTGCGCTTTTCAATACGAGCACTTCATCTGTTTTGCTGTTCTTTGTCGATCAATACGCCGCCGTTCGTCTTAGGTATGCGCAGCATGGTACAGTCTGCCCTAATCCCAACCAGGCCAATATTGACATGGCGGGAGTTTGTGTTGTAGGGTTTCGCGGTCACGCCCACGGCCTGCTTCTCTGCTCTCTCTTCAGTCCTTTTGCTTTCTCCGACAGCGCGCATATGCAGCGCAGACCGCTAGCGCTTGCGAGCCGCAAATTTACGCCGACGTTTGGCCGATCCCGATTGTACCAGACTGTACAACGCCCTTCTGTCGCAAAATTCTTTTGATGTGTTCGGGCTGATTAAATCTACAGAGAAAAAAATGGTGCTTTTCTCAATCGTGGAATTAAAGTACTACTTGGGCTACCAATGGGTTTATAACTTAATGCCCCCCCCCCCCACAACCACTCTCCACCCTTACACACTCTAACTTCTTCTCGAGCTCAAGAGCTGGGAACGGGGAAAAATCTCATGGATTGAGTTCCTCAGATAACTTCACATAGGTTGTTACGTGCTGATCAATGCACAACGCGCAATGTGCTAGATGCGACCGCTTCGCTAGACACATGCACAGCGGCACGCCTGGGTCTGCCCACGTTCAATGAAAAAGGGTGTGGCTTATACACCTGAAAATAGGGTAATTCCGCATACGGTAGCCTCACTCCGCATGCACTGTGCTAGATAGGAATGCGGCTTGCGTTAGTGCGTATCATGCTTCCCACATCCATGTGCTGAACATAAGCAGCCCGAATAACCTCCTAAGCGAACTTTTAACAAAATCCGTAATTTTGAATAGGTCGTATCAAGTGGATTAGCGCCAATGGCGATATGTGCTCAGCATGGCGAATAACCTCCAAAACAGATCCCACCCTATACCGAGAATGTACCCTGTCGTGTACCTATTGCAAGTTCTTGTCACGAAGAAGTTTATGGCATGGATCTTTGGCTTCACTGAAAAAAAAACTGATAAAAGAAAGGTTTTGTGTATATCAGTTAGAAAGCTTGAAGAATGTACATATTGTTGGCCAAATCCCAAAATCACACAGTTTTGGTTTCGATCTCTTACATTTGTTAGGACGGCGGGGCGCAGGAGGAACCAAAGGAGCCGCCTGTAACTGCAGGGGATAATTGAGAGCGCAAGCCATGTGGAGAACATTTGGCATTTACCCAAAAAATTGGCAGTGATATCCATATAGAATAAAATTCCTCTTGGCTGTGCATGGAGAAAATTTCGAAGAATATATAAGATAGATTTGAAATCTGCACTTACAAGACTTTCTATCGAAATGCACCTACAGTGCGTCCTAGAACTGAAACGAAAATAACCGTTGAGATTAAAAGCATTTGTATCATGGTATTTCCACATGAGCCTCCACATGTGCTTTGTGTGATATCTTGATTGCGATATAGTCGACTAACTTGAAGCAAGGTGTCTCCATCGTTTTGAAGACAGTTCTTTGAAGTGGAAGCCTGATTTATTAGGAATTTGCTACAGGAATTCTATAGTTAGAAAAGTAAGTTTTATCAAAGAAAATGGATGATTTTTTTCCTGTTAGACCATTGTGAATTTGGGTTACCTTGGTGAATGTGCCTTCAAATGCTGTCTTCACAGCTTTCGGAAGTTTTCCTAGTCAGAGCATTAACATGTTGACGACCGTGTGCATCCGCCCGTACGCACGCCCTGACCACCTTCCAGCACTTTCGTGCATCAATTTATCATGTGTAAACGAAAAGTTCTCAGGTAACTTCTATGCAGTGATAACGCTGGTGGCCTGGTTGTCATATAGAACACACGGCATTGCGTTAGCTGTTAAACAGTCTAAACCGCAGCCGTATATCATCAGTCCATTTTGCCGTGGTCAAAAATGGCTTGGTCATCAGCGTGTTAAGGAACATCCCAAGCAGATATCCTGCTAAGCTCTTTTGGATCCCTGCCCAATCTTCTCCACATTGGTCATGCTTTTGATTATGTCCTGTGGATACAGGCGGCCGGGCCTTTGGTTTCTCCTGACCACTTCCTTTCTCTGATACGGATTTACCGTCTCTACGAAAGAAGGCTTGGTTGGCCTAAGGGGGGATACCTGTGTCCGACCTTTTCATAGCGGCGCCTCATACCATTACGCCACTCGTCCCCAGTCAAAATGTGGAATTTATAAATATCTCTTGCGGAGACAGGACTAAGCCTTTCCTCCTGCACGCCTCCATTCCAAACTCTGTCAGCGATCATCTCAAAGGCACCGTACACACAGGAGATTTTGATGTCATATTATGGATGGGTCCCTAATTAAGCCAACGCACAAATCTCGCTGCAGAAGCTGAATTCCAAAGCGAGAAAACCGCTTCGGAAGGTGAAGCGCCACGTTTGCTCAGTCCATCAACGTGGGTGGTCTGAAGGTAAACGCTCCAAAGTGTTTAATGTATCTAGAGTTGTCATAAGTCATTGTGTCATTGTGCCCCTCATTGTGATTAGCAGATTTTCAACCTTTCTATCTACCTTGTAGCCTGATTTTGAACTTTTTATCTTCCGACCACTCACGTATGGACAAAGGTAACGTAACGCTTCTATCTTCTGGAAGGTTTTGTCGCTTCGGAGTTCAACTTTTGCAGAGGGATTTGGGCGATGGCTCTTAGGAGCCCCTTTATTATAGGATACTAGCTGGCTTACCCGGCTCCGCCGTATGTTCCGAATAGAAAATTCCATTTCTTAACCGATCCGGACCAAACTTGGCACACATACACTACGGGCCCCGGTGGGTGTCACAGTCCACTTTTCGTTTCGATCGATGTCGATTTTATCGATTTTTTGCAAAATTTGAGCTAGGGGCTGGAATTTGGCAGAGGGGCCCCCACGGGGGTGATCAGCATGCTCGATGTCCCCCTGTGCCAACTCCCAGCCCCGTAGCTCAAACTTTGCAAAAATCGATAAAATCGATATCGATCGATGACGAAAAGTAGCCTATGACACCCGCCGGGGCCCGTAGTGTATGTGTGCCAAGTTTGGTCCGGATCGGTTCAGAAATGGAATTTTCTATTCGGAACATACGTACAGACAGACATACAGACAGACATACAGACAGACAGACAAACAAACAGACATTCAGCTTTATATATAAGATCAAAATCTCACCACTCTCGATTTGGGTGGACGCTGCTTTGGAGAGAACCTGGAGTCTGCTGCTTCCAAATGGCAGTGTTACTCTTTAAAGGCAGCGTCCAGGCAGATCCGAGCTCGACGACCACGCCCACTTCCCTCGGACGGCCAACCCCTTGTGAACGAAATCTCCTCAGCCTTGACGTGTTTTTACATGACCAACACAGTGGAACTTTCAGGTTTACCTGTTAGTACTTGCTTTCGACAAGGATAACATCAGAAGCACTCGTCCAGGTTTTCCCAAAATAGCCCCAAAAGGTGGTTTTCTGAGAAATTCACGCTTTTTGAGTTCCATATTCGGAATCAGCGCCATGGAAGGGCCTGGATAACATAAAAATATAGAAGTCGAGAATCTGCCTGGACGCTGCCTTTAAGCACGCTTCGATGGTACATCTACACTTGTATCTTACTCGAGTAAGTAACCTTTGCGCTTACAACGTGTGTTGATCCATGCGGAGCTAGATTCAGTTTGCGTCTGTATGAGTATTCCCGCCCGTGAATCCAGAGCCTCCAGATGTGCGGGCCACCGTTAACCTGATATCGACTGAGTGCATGCCATGCGTCAAAATGTCGAGCGTATCAGTAACCGCAGCATAGTGATAGTAGGTAGCCTGGCAGTTTGAGATGTGCTGAAGCTGAATCTTTGTCAGTATGTTATCTATACGTATGTTGAACAGAAATTTGTTTCTAAACCGATTCGGGACAAGCTTGGCACCCATACAAGAGGCGGAGCGGGTGTCGCGGCCTACTTTCCATCATTGATGGATATCGGATTTATCGAATCTTTGTGAGCACCTACTAGAATGGAAGGCGGCGGCAAGGCACAGGGGGTATGCTGATTGCCAAAACTAGTCTCTAATAATAAGCAGAAATTCTATAGGCTGCTGCATGACGAAGGCGCAATATCTTCAGGCGCGAACGCGGCTTTATTAGCCGCAGAGCGCATGAGGTGCGGGCTCTACAACGGTGAGGATACGCGCGCGTCGCGTTCGCGCCCGCTCAACTAATATTGCCATTGCGCCTTCGTCATGCAGCAGCCTTTACATTGTAGAAACTGCTGGCAGCGCAAGCACAGCTGTAGCTCACATGTGTCGTTTTATTGTTGAATGATCGCCCAGATCCTGCCACCAACGTAGGAGCTGCCACTGAAGACGTAGTTAGAAGCCGCCCAATACGCATCCAGGCTCCGTTCAGTAGTTTGTTTTGACAGTCAAGTTTGGATTTTTATTTTCACTAGCGATTCGAGTTTTACTCTAGTGGTTACAAGACAAAACTCTTTCAAACCCGTACAAATACAATCAACATCAAAATCTAATGAAAGACGAGAAGGATGAAAAACAGTATATACAGAGAGAGAGGTGGATGAGTTCATCGTAGGAGAGAGCATTTAGAGTGATGCAACGAAGGGTGTCACTTTGAAGACGATGTTAGCAGAATCCACACGTCTTTGCGCACAAGGAGGTCATCATGGCATAGATAGCCGGTGCGCGACATCGGTCCGCTGTCCACCAGCAGACGGTGATCTTGTCTTCGCATCCTGAAATCGGAATTTTCCGAAAATATGACCAAAATTGGCGAGCTAATATGGTGTCCTTGCGATGATGACGACATTTGCGCGCAAACAAATCGTGCTTGTAACTTCCGCCAACCTGCCTGCGGTTTGCTCGAGAACGAGAGCGGCCATGTCCATCTACGCGCAAATGTTGTTGGCAGCGCAAAAACACTACATTTTGTTAAATCTTCAAGGAAACACGCGTAAGCTCACGTTGTGGTTTATTGCTGGAGTAAGAATTTTGCATTCCGTCGTAATACTGCGAAGGGAGCTTCGGCCGGTCGTCGTATTTGTCCATAACGGAGTAGATGGGGCTGTGCTGCAAGTCCTTAGTATTCGGAATAAAACATGACGTTTTTTTATAGCCTTGTCGCGAAAGACATCTTTTTACTGATTTTTGCTTCGAATTTTTTGTGTACCGATCAGTGGGAGGCCCTGATATTCAATATTATCTCTCCTTATCACATCATATTTTATCTGTCATTATTTCGAAATGTTTTGGACGAAAGCCGTGAATAACACTGTACAAGCACCACACTTATTTGATATATTGAAAGATTGTGGAACTGCAGACAGCAAGGATCCAGTGGGGTAATCAAATAATTCGGTGCACTGAGTGTAATAGAGCCAATTGTTTTTTTTTGTCACACGAGCTCTTTGTCCGCGAAATGTGAAAGATATGAAACGAAAAAGGAATGCGTCATGCATCAGGAAGGTCGGAAACGAACGTCGAAATAGGTTTTAAAAAATCCTGCATGGTTATTTTTCAAAATTTTGACAAAAATTCTGGCATAAGAATGGTTGCTTATTTAGCAATAGAAACTTCACCTATCCACTTGCTCTCGAGAACGTGATAAATGAACAATTGAATTGAGGGAGCAATTTTTGCTATTTGCTAAAGTCTCTTCATGGTTTGTGTCTGACAACCATGTTACAATCTAGAACGCTCAGATGTAGGAGCGGAAGAATACTTACAGCACCTTAAACTGAAAACTGTGTCGAAAAGGATACTACCTCAAACTGCCGCATTGTCTTTATTTGTCAAAAGCAGCAACTTTATTTTTAAAAAAATGAGATGGTGAGATAAAAGAAGAGCTTAATTTTTTTCTCAAACATTCCGAAAAAAGTAGAGTCAAAGTACGATACTGATCTCTGATATGCTTGTTTTCCTCCTATAGCTGCGATTACGTTTGGTATTTTCCTAGGAATTTTTTATTTTTTCGTATAGAGCCATTTTTTACAAACGATCACAATTGTCAACTCCTCTTCAATTTTCCAAGAGGGAAAATGCACAACTTTGGAAAGGAACTTACTTGTGCTCTAGCAAAAGGGGCCGTCTGCAGCTTGTTTTCTACGGGACAATTGTACATCCGGTTTATTTTCGCTAGATCCACTTCACTGAAGTCCTTTGCATTTCCTATGGTTGCTGCTGAAAGAAGCACACCATAACGGGCTACCCCATACATCATCGCAACCCTTTAAGAAACTGTTTACGCAGATTGGACCGAACGATTATGTTTTGGCTAGTCCGATTTGCACAAATGCTTCATTTATCAGTTTTACTTGGTTTTTGACTCATGTCAATACATTTAACTGATTAAGCTTGAGCGGAAAGTATGTAAGGAAAGCTTTGAGAATAAGAGTCCTATGTAAAGAAAGAGCATATTTTGCCTGACTTACATTTCTGCTTCGGCAACATGGTAGGAAAGCCATTCTTGCTGAAAGCTAAGCTATCGTAATGTAGGATAGACTTGTAGTCGTACGGCTGACCGTAATAGGATGTCTTGCTAAGATCAACCTTGCCAAATTGATCAAGAGCTCCTGAAACAGAGCGGTTAGAGTATCAATGCGACAGATTGGGGAGCTATTGAAAGGTAAGTTTGAAAAAGTTTTCGGACATCTGCTTTGAAGAGGCAGCTTGGTTACATAAGGAAGTTAATTTAAAACGCAGCCTCAATTATTGAATGAGTATTGGACGAGAAGAAATTTGGAAAGATCGAAATTTGTTGTTTGCGAAAACTGAGAACTTTACTACAAATAATGCACTCAATATTTGACTGTCACAAAAAAACTTTTAAGCATCATTTAAGCGCACTCAAACGAAATTTTCTGTCAATTCGTAGTAGTTTCGGAAGGATATCATCATATTGTTTAATAAACAAGAACAGACTCGTCGGCATGAAGTTTCAGATTATATAATAGTCTTTATTTCTGTACTTGCTTGTAAAAAACTGACCCGATACAGAGACAGTGCTGAGATAAGACGTGAGATGCTTTGTCTACAAAATCATCCTTGAGCCCAATGAGGAATGGCAAATAGTCAGTCAACGCACAGTCAATTATTGAGTACATAATTTGTAGTAAAGTTCTCGAAAATTCGAAACGAAATTCTCAAAACAGGAAAATATGATATTTTGATAGCATAGACTCAATATTAGAATCAATGACGTTTTATCCGCATTCAGCTCTCCCACTTTTGTTATAAAAAGGACGTCAAAGCCACTCGATGAGAAGTTTTCCACACTAACTTTACAGTAATCACTGTACAAATATCAGTTTCGGTGACAGCACTTAGTTTTCTCTGCAAATATGAATTATCCACTTTTGAATTTTCATGTTATAACTCGCGCGGCTCATCGCTAAGAAGGCATCTTTTGTCTATTGTCCATGCGCCACCTCAACAGAAAAAAAATGACAATGAGATCGCCATCGCTGGCTTTTTATAATTCATATACAGCAGTCACTTCAGCATTGAATTTCTTGAATTTTTTTTTGCGTCTGCTTTATTCGACATTGCGGAGATATGTCGAATACTTAAAACCAAAGCTTCGCTCTCAACTCTTATTCCAAGATCCTTCGACGGCCAGTAGAGTTTACGTCATTTTTTGTTTTCAGTCTTGCACCTTGATTTGTATTGGCTTCTCTGTGCTCTTACTCTGTGCTTACATCAAGCTTTCTATTAAGACTAACTCAAAGGATAGATGTTCCCGCAGTGATACAGATTTTCAGTTTCTATTTCAGTCATTTGATGAGATGAACTCAGCATTTATGGGTAGGAGTTGATAAAACTCACTGATAGAAAAATATTTCTAAGCCAAACTCTTAGAATGATGAAAAACCACAAGCAACATTACCTCGATCAATATTTTGCCAGATGATGTCGATGAAGTTGTCACGATCCCATCTTTCTGAAGTTTTTCAAGCCGTGCATACGTTTGGGCAAGACATACCAACAAAGTTCTTATACTAGAGTTTTGCTCACCGTGCTCGTGATAGAAGCCGACAACATGCATCATTTCATGGATGATGGTTGCATACTCCATACAACCGTTATCAAGAGACAGAACTTGCACTCCGGAAGTTCTGCCGACTTCCGAAAAACAGCTGAAATTTATTATCAGTGGAACGAGCTGTATGAATTAGGAAAAGCTCTTAGAGAAGAACACTGGGTCGAAAAAAATGTGTGAAAGTCTAGAAAAAAGAGTATAGTGCGTTAATTTACTTTGATCACACTACTTCTTTAGAACATTCATGGATCATACATGATTACTTGAAACTAACTCTTGCTCCCTTTGAAGGAGCACATGTGCATTCAAATATTTTTTCTATGTAATTGGATGAAAGAAATATGTATCGCTACTTACCCATCCACTTTACCTATAAAAAGGTAATCCGGTTCTCCTCCAGATCGTGGAACGAATCGAATGCATGTCTTTTCGTGGTACTGTAAAATAACGCAGTGAACTCAACAGACTCTCTTGTATAACCCTGATATCAAAAGCCGAAGCAGAATCTCGAGAACCCTTAATATTTGAATAAACGTCCAGAGTCCGCTATACTTTCACTCGCCAAGCTGATTTATAGTTGATAAACGATCTTAAACTGAGGAAAACTGTTGATTTTCTTTGAAGCTGAGCAAATTTAATTCCGTAATGCCACTCCATAAAACGTTTACACTATTAGATTTTGTGAAAAATGCGAAACATTGAAAGAGTCTTTGCTGAATTTTTCTCAAAAACAAGAAACAAAAAAGTGATGAACGAAGGATAAAAAACATAAAAATTGAACATAAAAATTTCTATAAAAATGCTCCCCACATACTTTTCAACTCATGTGTGTTTAGTACTGTCCATTATCCGTCCTTTAATTTCTTGAAGTATCCAAAATAAAAAAATCGAAACAACATGCAGATAACATTGGTTGAAAATCGATTTTCAGTAAATAACCGCCTTGCCTTGTCTAATACGGTTTTTCCTTTTCAGGAGTTCCGCTCAAACGGTTAGTTTGATAATATCCAGATTGAGCAAGTCGTCTACAAATGTAACACCTCGATTTATATCTGACCCCTCTTGAATCTCAGAAATATTTCGAAAGTCACTTTTGAGAAAATAGTGTATGACATGGTTGTACCAAACATTGTAAAGCCTTTAGAAGTTGGACGTTTTGATTCTGTTATTACCAAACAATAATGTTACAAATGAATCTCATGTCAGAATTCAGAAACCTAGGTCGTGCATGATCGAAAATTATATTTACATCTGTAGATATTGAATCGCGAAGAATAATTGCTACTAGAAAAAGAGAAGGATTTTCGTAAGTTTAAACTATCGTTTCAGATTCCCAAAGTGTCATAAAAATTTCTGGTTTCAAAATCTAACATGTTTGCTGTATTTTAGAGATGGCTGGGTCTTCGCATCATGACCTATGATTCCGGGAGGTATCATAAGCGATACATGGATTGATCACATCAAAGGACTATTTTTCAGATACTTTAATTCAGATTGAGGGTCAAAAAAAACTGCATTTGAAATCTCTTTCGATACAGGATTTGGAATGTCTTAAAATTTTGAAAACTAGGTAAAAGGCAAGGTAGACCATGAGAGGAAGATTAGTTGAAGGGGAAAAGATGCACTGTGATGTCAAACGTCAAAGTTTCTGTCTGACGATAGTTCATACATCTTATGGGTAGCCGAAACGGCAGGTTTCAAACCATTTTGGTAGATTCATATCCTCCGATTCCCACATCTCAAGCAAACTCGGTTCTTCTAGTGTAGTAATGCAGAAAAGGTGAGATCTGACTTGCAAATAACGATTAATGAAATTATGTAACAACACTTCCACATGGCCCACTTCCCCTCTTTTGTCCGGTTTTTCCCTATCGAAGCTTTTAAGCCCTCAGAAGATAGTGTATAGGCACTAAAACTATGGGGAAGGACAGACCTGTTTTACAGCGCGAGCTAGTAAAGCTCGTTCATGCGGAGTATAGTGTGGAGAGATCGCGTATGGAATCCTCGCATTTGGCCATAGTTTGGCTACCCGTGACACGCCATTCCGCTGCAAAAAGAAGGGTTTTGTTTCCGACAAGACCAAAATACAGAACATAAGAATTTTTTTTATCACTAGCTAGCAGTCGCAAACATTCAAATATATTCTGAGCTGCCAGAAGGATTTTTTGCCTACAAAGCTATTGAAATATAAGCAGATATTGAGCATATAGGTTTATAACAACCTGGGTGTTTCAAAACCTAACGAGATGAATTCGATTAAACACAAAAAAAAACAACATAGAATACTCAAACCTTAAAAAATCTATGTACTTTGACTCTGATTCCTATCAACTGTTTATGTTTATTTACATTGTTTTCAATGAGCAAGGCTACCTAAATCATGCAAAACTCTTCTAGTTGAATAAAATTTAACCAAATTTAAGGAGAATGGGTGATCAATGCACAAGTGGAACGATGACGATAAATTCGGGTTTTTGTTGTAGAATGAAAAGCGAATAATGCTAACGAGATGGACGTGATTATTTATTTCTTGTATTGGTTGAAATTTTGTAAAAAAAATTGTACGACCATAAATGAACGTGAAAGTAGAAAAAAGATTGCAAACAAATTGGGAAAAACACACAACAGATAATGTTTAATGGAAGAATATGATTCCGGCCTACCTTTGAGCGCCTATGTACTCCAAGAGGTTCCCGGATATCGGAGCGATAATCGTTCACAACTTCTACAGGAATGTGTTTACCATATACTTCTTCTGAAATGTGCTTGAATTCAACAAAAAAATTTGTGGAAAAAAATCATCTCTTGAACTATTTGGGTCTTTTGGCAATTCGTGATCCAAATATTTCATGTGGTTTTTGTATGGTTACAATTTATTTGTACTTTGCTAGCTGACTCATACTACAAAATCTGCATAAGTCTTCTTATCTAGTCTAATATATAAAGAATCGTAAGCTGCATTCAAAAACCATCAAATAGCGGCAAACCGCGGTGAGGTCCCGAAGCGCGCGAATGCATTCCAATCTAGCACCTTTAATTATTGATTCACTAGTACTAAAAAAAGCAAAGATTCTGAATGATTACAACCGTCTGAGTTATGTTGATATTCCATGTTTAGCTTACTGAATACTCTCTCTCGAATGTTCTCAAAAAATCCTCTAAAAAGACCTCCAAAAGTTCTTCAAGCCGCTGCGTGCGGCTTAAGTGGACCACGCAAAGCCCAGTGAAAAGGGCAAAAACTTTAACCGATTAAGTGAAGATCTGCGAGTCTTGTCTTCGTGCAAGATTAGAAAGTATAAAGAAGAGCTAAACCGCTACACCAACGAGCAAAAAAATAGCGGTGCTAAAAAATCCGTTCTACAGAATTTTAGCTCTAAATTCCGTGAAATCTTCGCTTGTTAATCGTTTATTGGTCCAAATTATAGTAATTTGTACACAAATCAAGTTGTCAGCTATGCATTAAGCTCGTCCAGCTTGTCATTACAATTGCGTCGCATCATGCATGCACTATGGGATGAGATGTCAAAGTCTATAGAGCACTTTTTCAAGACTTTAAAGCTAGACATCCTTAGCATTGACAAGTCTCTGGGCCTGGACATGCTCGTAAGTCAGCCCTTCTTGCGAGATGATCCTATTTCAGGGAAAAAATCAATACGAAGAAATTTCTTAAATCGCAATTTAATTCTAGGCCCCTCCGGGACTCCTCTTATAAGGAAAGAAGGCCTAGAATAGCTAATGAATGTTAATAGGAAAAAACTCATATTTTTCAGTTATCTTCTTCTAACAGACACTACTGTACCTCGAAAGTAAGCGTCTTAGCTTTGTTGTATTTGTAGTGGTATAAATCGTGCTAAACCGATAGCGGACAGAAGGGGGGGGGAGGAGAAAAGGGGGTGATTATTCGTGCCTTGAAAGTGTGTAAGTGAATTTGAAACTCAACTTAGCATTAACAAAAAACACTCTTGATTTTCAAAAATTTCGAGGACACGAAAAATTCGAGAGGCATCTCAAAAATTTTGCCAAATTCTCGGAGCGCCACATTGGTGAACATAACATTTATCTGCCCTCGTATTTTGACCATAGTTTCCATGTATGAATGGTTTTGCTGATATTTTCTTCTTAATTTTTAGTAAAATTGTAACTAAAATTTGAAAAATTTTCTAAAATCTATCTGGTATGAGAGTATTTTTGTTTAGACGTCCAGTATTAGTTTGTGACGACAATTTTTGAATGGTAGCATTTTTAAATGCACGAAATCGGTTCGATATCTACGAGACCCGATTTCAAGAGTTTCTTTGCATGTATTGTTTATTTTCGACCTAGAATTTTGAACGTATGAATATTGCCTCTAAAATTCTAAGAAAACATTGGACGTGGAGTCCTCTTTTGTTTGCTCTAAATTTAATGCAGTGTGACCATGATTCCGGTCAGCTGCTCTTGTTGTGCTCTTGCTCTTGACCGGTGGCTGGCTACTCACCGGGTGAAAGTTTGTCCGCTTCGACAAAATCGGCAGCCGACAGGAAATCCACTCCATAACATGAGACATATCCTGAATCAAGGTAAATAAAGCTTGTTTATGCACGGAATGAACAGGTTGCGCGGGGCATTTTCCAGTTATTGGAACTGACCTAGGAATGTGGCTAGAATCACCCAAAGAAGTCCTGCCCGATGCATTGGCACCTGAAAATGGACTGGTTATTTTGCAGAGCGCAGTACGTCATTTATGCTCTACGGCGATACACAAAACACACACTGAGCGTATCATCCAGGAATCATCGAGCAGTTACTGAAACGCATTATTTTCCCGATGGTTGATACCCTTATATAGCGTTCTTTATCAATAAATTTCCACTGTAATCATATTGATTTTGCCAGGCAACCCATTGGGATTACGGTAGGTAGGTATACGGTGAAAGGCGGTAAAAATCGGTATGCGGTAAAAATCCCTAACTTGGGACCCCAAAAATCATAATCGTGATCAGCAGGCAGAGGAATGTAACCAAGCAAGTAGTTTGAGGGAATTTGAGGGAATCCAGGATTCAAACATTTCATCGTACTATACCGTATTAGAAATGCGGTAGATATATGATAGAAATACGGTGTGTGTATGGCAGGGTACGGTAAGTATCCACTGGTAAAACGGAGAATCCTCATGCACGATCGGTATGCACAGCGTGCCAAAGAACTTCTTGGAAGATTCTAGCGAGAATTACGACTTTTCTGGTTGAAGCTTTGTAGAAATTCAGGATTCCGACCTTTTACTGTAGCCTACCATATTCCCCGATGCACAACAGATATCGGTAGGAATATGATAGATATGTGATGAAACATAAAGCCTATTATGCGTTACTATATATAATATTCATAAGCAGTGTGCCAAATGAACTTTTTGGTAAAATTTTGCCGGATCCAGCTTCTGGAATCTTTTTTGTGAATCTTTGTGGATTAGCAACACTTTCCATAGCATTCTTTTTTTTCACGTATGCATGCATTCAACCGCAGCGTTTAGAGCTGCCCGTGTGCCGGAACCGTGCAAGCTCCGTGCCAGTGCCGTACTAGGGCCGTGGTGACACGTCGATCGATCATTACAGGCACGCGCATGTGGGTCGTCAATGGAAGCAGTGTAGCTAGCACGACGCTTGCATAGTGCTGGCATCGCGCAAGCGCAGACAAAGCTGGATACAAGCTCAATACTTCCTATGGCCATGTATTCAAAACGGCTAACAAAAATGATGGAATGAGCAGTATGTGCAGTGTGTGCATTTGCACATATTAGGATATGAATTGTCTAGACTGCAACGCTGAACGCACTAGCAAGTACGAAGGACAAGAGGGGTCAACCGAATTCGAAGTGTCTTGAGAAATGACCTTTAGAGGGCGGCGGATGTGCATGAACTCTGAGGTTAGCGATTGGTTCTCTTGTGCAAATAAAAGTGAGTTTCTGTTTCAAACAAGCCGGGTGGTTCGGTCTGTGTGTGTGCGTGCTCGGCGATCGCCAAATGTGTACATACACTTCGAATGAGTCTGGCTGACGTAAAAAAGCCAGAGGAATGCGCACGCGATTTGCAACGCTTCCAAATCGGGCGCGACGGACGCGCGCCGTCACCGTGCCTGTGTCAATATCGCGCCAGTGATACGCAGTTTTTCGCCTGCTTATGTTTGGCGTTTTTTTCGCGCATATGGAAAGCCGATCCACGATGCGCTTGATGAATCGTCGACGCGACCCAAGCGCTTGTATCGTCGGAAGTGTGCGCGGCTAACGTGAGCGCGATCTCGTTTCGATTAGCTGCTATAGGCTTACGATTCTACAACCGATACATTGACACCTCCGTAGATGAGATGTTTTGTTCGGTTAGAGTTTGCTGCTAGCCATCGTATAGCTACAAATTAGGCACAAGAATAAGAAAGTTGGAAGCTGCAAGGAAAATCATTCGCGTCTCTTTGTTAATGTGTGCAATTACACAACTTTCACAAACTTATTGATGGGACGCAGGAAGGAAGTGCATGACATGTAGCATACAAACTTCTTCAGATACAGTTGTGTTCAACAACAAACAAAGCCAAGGAACACAAAAAACAACAACACTAGGCAAGTAGAAGTCCTTTTCAAGGATTGTGCAATTGCACACAAACAAAGGATTTTTGCACTGCTACGGAGCTGGCCACGCGTATTATGATTAAGTCAGAACTTGTGTTTCAACTCTTTTTAGACGTCTGTCTGTTCTGCTGATATAAAAGAAAAACAAGTCTAAAGTTGTCAATTGGGTCTCACTTACGAGGAGAAAATACTTAGTGGTGTGCTCATTCAAAAAGCAATTACGCCATAAATTGCATTTCGAAACGCTGTGCAAATCTGTCCTCGACAGTTAAATTTTGCAGTGTTGGTCTAGTTGATGCTACTAAAGAAATCTTATTGTTAAATAGAGCAATGTTCTAATTGAGCTAGTTATTAATTCATATAAAGCTGCTGAAAAGGCAAGAAAATTCTTTCTATATGTCGTATATTATAGTATTTAGTAAGTTCTTTCTGTATGATTTTAAACCTCCGCGGTAGTGCAATTTTTTTGATAAATGACCACTACTCCACCAGGTATCGGTTTCCGGGATGTGGAAAATACTTTTTGAATAGGGATTAAGAGGAGCTTTTCTTATCGAACACATTGTGAATTGTCACCGTCATCGAGTATTGCTTCGTGGTTAGGTAATTACGGTATGCACTGAGTGGCTGAAGAAATAAAGATATTGATGATCTGATGTGAGAAGAAAAAAGAACGAGAAGTCCAAAACGTTTGCGCAAGCCTTACGAATGATCAGCTCAGAAGTAAAGAGCTGAAAAAGCTGGTGCGGGAGGTCTCGCTTTGCAATTAATTCGCATTTTTTGTACACGAACAATAACGATTTTGCAAGTAAATGGTGAGAAACAGGCAGTTAACGCTATTTAGTAGTTTTGTGTGACTGAAATGAGAATTGAGTTCAGGAAAAGTATTGGCTCGATTTTTCTTGAACAAAAGCTCTGATTCCTAAAGAAAATTCAGTGCATTCAATTTTGCCAATTCCAATAATAAATGTTAAAAAACTGTTGTGGATGTTATAAATGTTATGAGCTCTTCTAGATCTTATGCTATAGTTTTTAGGGGATAAATTGGTCAGATAGAAGTTTCTGCATGAGAACCTGGGATATTTTATGAATTCTACGCTCTCGGAACGTGAAAAATATTTCCATTTTATAGATGAGGTATTTCGAAAAATTCTGTTCATATAAAAGGTAAGAAGGGCCAGAACAAACATATTCAAGCTAAATTTAGGAATTCGTGGCAGAAGTAAAAGTGCCAGAAATGGCACAAAAAGCATCGGGCAAACCTGAATGACCACAAAGCAGCATCTAAATTTGGATTTGAGCCGATCATCTAACAAAACGCTATTTTTCTCGGGTACCTATTGAATTTTAAGGGTGCTACAGGGTGGGGCAAAAGTCTGGGAGCCTAGTACTTTTTCAGATAAAATCAGAAGGAAAGTGCCTAGGAACAAAAAATTCGGTGCACACATAAATCGAACCTTTACTAATACAGCGCTGCTTTCAAATTTTGAGATTGCCTCTTCTGGCTTCAAAGCAGCCCTTTGAAATCTTGGCGAGTCCGCCTGTCGTGGCACGCAGACAGTCGTGATGAAATTCGTCCCACGCCTTTACGATAACTGTTTATTTCACCAGGCAAATATGCGGTGTGAGAGAGCAAGCTTTTGGCTACAACGCACTGCAAAGAAATTTTTTTTTTCGCAGGTTTAGGAAAAAAATTCTAGAATTTTAATTGAAGGCAAGTGTACTTGTATACTGGAAATCTGGTTGCGATTGCGAGAACGGGAGCGAAGAATCGTAATCTAAATAATACTGAATTCGCTTGATCGATCGAACTCAAGTACATGCTTGCATAGAAGACTCATGGAAAGAATATAGCTTAGAATTCGGTGCCTGCTGTGCTCCTATAGCTTTAAAATTTATTTTAAAGAAAAATGGCCGCTGGCACGCAGGTAGTATACACAAATTTTTATTTTGCGTTTTCAAAAGAATACTATCTGACAAACGCAACGGCTAAGAATTGATAGCGCGAAGTCTCCTCTACATTATACGCATCGAAGTGCTTTAGAATATCTACTGTATCGTTAGTTACGAAATAAGTTGTAAGAAACAAAAATTTCTATTTTCTCGTTTTGCAGAGCACTTGTTTGATAAACCCAACTCCTACAAAAACATATAGCAAGCATTTTCAGCCAGCCAAAGTGTGTTTTGTAGAGGATGATCGCAGCAACATGTGGCACAAATTTGGAGTCAAAATCGTCGGTAGTTTCTTGATTTACAGCACTGCAAAGTAGGCTCCCAGACTTTTGCCCCACCCTGTATTTATGAGAGGCTCAAGTTCTAAAAGAAGGAAATCCTCTCAACTCTCAAGCATGGGAATTCTCGAAATAAAAAGGTTAAAGACAAACATTTTGCTTCAGAACCTCAGTCTCATGTTGTTTAGATTCTCAGGATTCCCATCGAAATGTTTGCATAAGCATTTTTTTTTATGAAGGTTGATGCGCCAAAATATATAAATTCATTGAGCAATGCTAGTCACTCCCTAAAAATAATAAGAGGAATTTGGAAGAAAATAAGAAGAGATACAAAGCTGTCTTTAGCGCGGCTAAGGGAAGATCAAGCCGCTGAAATGGCACCGAAGTTACATACTGCTATGATTTATGAACTCTGAACACCACCCAGGGTTTTGAACCGGGTTTATAAAAATAATCGCGAGTGAACCATATGAAACGGGTTTTCAGAGCTTGCCATGTCAAATGGCATTTGACATACGAGATACCCGAAAACGAGCTTTGAACGTAAGAAACGGGATCAGATCTGTAGTGTACAGTGCAAGGGCGGGAGAATTTCAGTTTTGAGATGGAAATCGCAAATAAACTCTGAGATATTCGTAACCGTGACTGTCAATAATCTGTTGGACTCTGGGAGATTGTCAGCTTGGAATTGGTGCCAAAATGCGCAGCCTTCATTAAACTTTGAAAAAAGAAAACTGTTTCATACTTGGAGATAAGAATGCATCCAACTTGATTATGGGAATTATGGACTTTTGAAAACGGGCTGCAAGCCAAGAGATTTAAAAGAAGAGGAAGAGGCGAGGGAG